ACGCACATATTCAAGGGATATAAAGCAGATTTAAGCCCCAATTGTGGACTTTTAAAGTCTATGGAAATCCAATTAGGTCTCTACAAGCCTAGGGACTGACAGAGACTTTTATGGACCCCAGTACTTAACATTTTGTAGCGCTTGAAGACATTAATAGATTTGTAAAGTCCACTGGACTTTGGACTCGAGTAGACTTTAAACGTTCATCTTAATCCTGGTATAGAGATGATTTTCAATAGTTCCGTTAGGCATATGTATATTACCCTTGAGATATACTAGAGATGTGCAGGGCGCCCTTACCCTACCCTACCCTGCAGGCCAGGGCTCAGAAGTCACAGGGTAGGGTAGGGCCAGGGCTCTAATGTCACCTGAAGTTACACGGTACGGCTTGGAGGGCTCTAACACCACCTGAAACAACAGGGTCGGGCCAGGGCTCGAAGATCACCTGAAGCAACAGGGTAGGGTAGGGCCAGGGCTCCGGTGTCACAGGGTAGGGGAGGGGGAGGGTACAACAATTTTTCACAGGATAGGGCCAGGGCTCCAGAAACAGCTACCCTGCACATGTCTAAGGTATACATCTTTAGATACGTTTAGAAAGAAAAGTTAGAATTGAACCATTCACTTTACTTACAGAGTAGTTATATTATTAAGTTAAACAGCAACAACAAAAAAAGAAGAGGAATAGAACAGGAAAAAGAATGTTTGAAACTTAAAACAATATATCACACCGATAAACTATTTGGAAAAGAGAATTATACTGACCTTTCATATACCCATACAGTTTTGAATTATTAAAAAAACAAAAATTAAAATAATAATAATAATGAATACCGATGAGAAGAGAATCGATCAATTCGATCAACAATCAGCAATCCAGTGACCTGTCTCAGAGTGCAGTTGAAAACTAGAGAGAGAACAATCACAAAAAAAATTAAAAACGTTTTTCGGGTTCTATAATACTGTTTTTGAGATCAATATTGGATAGTTTCGATCGATCGATAGAATAATCCGACCATCAAGTCTAGTCAGTTTGTTAGGAAAAGTAATTCGTCAAAAAAAAGGTGTCTTTTTCATAAACTGTATATGAAAATGATTTTCTTCTTTCTCTTCGTTACTAAATTCAATAATGTCTCAGGGACATACAGTTATTATAATATAAAAATATTAAGCTAAATATGTTATATAATATTTCATTGTATTAGAAGAATATATATCACGTTGAATCTGTTCGTTTTAATGGTAAATATTGTTTAGTTGATTTGAGATATCGATCAATCACAGATGCTCCATCACTGAAAAAACGACAAATTATCAATACAAACGTGACATTTATATTGTTGTCTTACTTTGCGTTTAGTTCACTATCACCATCTTCTATTGGTTGTTCTAATGCTGCTTTCGTTTTTGGACTGTTACTACTACCATTAACAATGTTTTTTATTGTTTGATTTGAGAATATATCTTGACTGCTATTTTTCTCACTTGACACCGATTGCTGTTTACGATTTCGATGAGGTATTTCTGCCTGATAATCGGTTTCATTTGAAATAAATTTATATTTTAAACTATTTTCGGTTAAGTTGGTTAAATCTTCAGAATCACTATCGTTATCGGGTGCAACAAAAACGACGTTCATTGTTATATTACCTTTCTAAAATACATAAGATATAGATAAATAGATATAAATTACTTTTCTATACTTTAAATGGATTGTGTTTATGTGAACAAAGATTAAAGTTTAAAACTTACCACACTTGATAAAACTCGAACAGCTTCCGTATGTTTCGTTTCTCTTAAGTCAACTCCATTCACAGCTAATATGGAATCACCCACATACAATTGACCGCATCGATCAACTGCTCCTCCCTGATGAATTTCTGAAATTAAAATAGGTAAACCATGCTCTTTACCACCCTAAATTAAACAAAAATATTTATTAACGAATTATCGACAGACCAGCAAGTAGAAGTACTTACAGTAACAGAAATTCCAAGAGCTTCGGTTGCCTCTTTTGTTAAATTCACTGTGCGTAATTCACCAACTCCCTGACGTTTTTTCAAGGTATTAAAATCCTAAATAGATCAAGACAATGGTTGTTTAAAATCAGATAATTCCCTCCTAAATTAGTAGGCCATCCTATTTTAAATAATCAGTCTGGAACGCAATTTTATCAAAATCACTCTTAATAAATTTTATTAAAAAAATAGGGAGAGATAACATAATTTTTCGAAAAAAATGTTCGATGTGCAAAATCATAATAGACGGCTATGAGCTTCCAATTCCAGGTAGAATTTAAGGAACTGTGAAAACTTACATGTCCAGGAGGCGCAGACAAAACTTTGTTTGCCACTTGTCTACCTCTGCAAGCACGTATTACTGTTTTATGTCGATGTAAATGAATTTCGGCTTCTAACTGATTCCACAGTTTTTCATGATCTGGTCCTCTCAGATCGCGACCAAGTAATTGTATCTGTTGTATTCTAAAAGAATAACAGCAAAATAAAAAAAATGAAACTGCCGTTATTCTCTCAAATGACATGTTAACAGATTTAAGCCTTGAAATATTTAGACAATAAAAGAAATAAACAAAGATTAGATTATCTGAACTTTTTTTTCTTTCAAGTTTTACAAAATCGGATAAATACCTTCCTGCCAATTCTTTATCGAGATATTTTGCAGCTAATCGTGATCCATAAACTTCACTTTGTAAGTTAATAATATTAGTTTTTAATTTCACATTTTCCTTTTCTAAATCAGTTGCTTTTATTTCCCATACAACATCGCGTTTGAATTCGTCTCGTTGACGATTTATTTGACCTTCCTTGAAAATAAACAGATCATATAATAATTGTATAGTTATTTTTTTAAAATAATATACCAATCGTTTTCTTATGATATCAGCTCCATCTATTTCTTGGTTTTTCAACGTTTGACATTCTAATTGTGATGCATGTAACTGAGCCATGATATCTTTAATCTGTTGTTGTAAGGCGACATTTTCTGCTTTCATATCAAGTAGTTCAGTTTTCGTATCGATCAATTGAGCCTAAAAAATAAACTACCGACGAATATTACTGGAGACAATCAAATATATCATGTCAAATACCTCCATTTTAGCATTTGTTTGTGATAATGTCTGCGTTTTATGTACTAATTGTGCCCAAGATGAACTTAACATTGTCAATTTTGCTCGTCCTTCATCTGTAATCTCAGATTGATCTGAATCTATTTGAAAGAAACACATAGAGTTATATCCTTAAAGAAACTTAGAAAAGAAACATAGAGTAGTTGTTTGTCTAACCTATTTCGCCTAAAAGTAAATCCAAGTCCACAAACGTCTTATCAAATTCTTTTTCTAGTATATCAATCCATCGAAATGCATTGGCAACGACTGATACAGCCATAGTTGATTAAGATAAAAACCACCAGTTTAAAATAATATTATTCAATGTAAAAATAGAATATCACAAATTCACCAAGTTATCATTTGTTCTATCGTAATTTGTGTGGATTCTTTTTTTCTGTACACCTGCAGGATCCCAATTGAACACGGATTAGCTATTTTTCATTAATGTGTAAATTATTGATTAGTAAGCTATGGTGCATGAAAGTCAGTGTTTCTTATTATGGCAAAAAAATGTTGGTCAACCTCTTTTAGCTCAGCCAAGAGACACAAAAATTTTCAGAACTAGCTTAATTAAAGTGTTAAAAAGAGGAGATTCGCTTGATCTACATTTCTGCATATTTTCAATTATGGTAGCTCCATTCGAACAAAAGACCTTCTTATTTATCGTCAGAAAAAAAGGTTTTGATTTGCATCAACTAAGATTTCGAAGGCGAGATGGCTTAAACTGTCGGTCTTCCAGTCTGGTCCAAAAGTTGATCTGAGAAGCCAACGAGACAACTTCAAGGGAATAAGACAATTATGAAAAATAAAAGTTTTTCTACCATAGTTAGAAACACCGACTATCCTTACTTGTATTAATCGCAATCAATAAATTTTTTCCATTCAACATTTCACAACTTTGCTCATCTAATTTATTTGATGACTTCTTTCTGTTGCTGCTTACCTCTAACGTTGCTATTGGTCGTGCGAATAGTACCAACCACGGCTGAAAAAAAACAAATGCATAGAAGCAGGCGACGCAGCATGTGGCCTAATACGCAAGATTATCAGAAGAGGTCAGTATGTGTGAGATGTTCCCCTTTACTATATATTTCCATCTATTTTTTGCAAAAACCTTTTCATTTGGACTGAACATAGTCTAATAATGTAGATGAATGTCTGGACTACAAAATAAGACCACTCCCAGCTTTTCACAACCTTCCTTAAAAAAAAATCATGAAGTTTTTAAGTTTTTCGTTCTAGAGAACTCCACACATGGGATTAATGAATTTTTATGGGCAAGATAATATCCAATCAACATTTTCGATACTGGTGAACGCCAGTACCACCACCCGCCTAAATCTGCCACTGCATATGACGATCCCTCGAAGAAATCGTCCGATCCAGCTAATCGAATTTTTACCACAGATACTTTAGACCCTATCTCAGGTTCATTTTTTTTAAGCGTTTTCGATTTCAACTTTCGTCGTGAGAAGATTTTTAAAACTTTCGATTTACAGCTACTTCACTTCACAGTTTATTTTTGAGAAACATTGAATATTTCACTATGTCTGATTTCATGCTCTGACGTAAATACGAAAAGGTCAAAAATTCAAACTAGTAGTGGTAAAAATGGAAATAGAACTTCGGTATAAATAATTTTATTACTGATACCAGCTGCGGTAAAAACAAAATTTTACCGCGGTAAGCTTCGGTAAAAATAACTTTTACTGTTACCGACGATAAATTACTGTCACCGCTGATCCCTATTGATCAGGTGTTTACAAATATATATAGTTTATATCAATTCGATGACTGAAGACTACAGACCAATGAACATTAAAAAGATGACTTCAGTTGACGAACAACTATTTGAACGACTTTTAGATTATAGTGTCGAATCCCGACATCATTGAAAATGGCCTTGACACCTGGAAAGATTCTCTCGTTAGTGAATTATGAACGTAAAAAGCGGATCGTTTCTTTCATTTCGTTATGTCTTTAACGTAAAATTTGAATATTTGAGAAATAAAAACTTTTCGGTTTACAGCTAACGAGAAAACCTATCCGAGTGATACCTTCCCATTTCGTTCGTTCATACGTCGATCGATAGAGCGTATCGAGCTAGTAAAAAGCCCAAAATGATTTTTCCCCATGACTTTTTAAGCTCCGATTTTCTGGAAAATCAGTTTTTCAGAAACTCTAAAAAATAATCAAAACCTTTCTTAATGAGGCATAATTGTAGCCCGTAAATTTCTGATTAAAATGAGACATCTCCCAGCTCTACACAACCTTTCTTTGCAAACTTATAGAATTTACAAGAAAAGTCCTACATGTTCATTGCCAACAGAAATAAGAAATAAATTTAGGGCTTTTCTTGTAAATTCTATATTTTTGCAAACAAAGATCGTGTAGAGCTGGGAGACGTCTCATTTTAATCAAAAATTTGCGGGCTACAATTATGCCTCATTTAGAAAAGTCTTAGTTATTTTTTAGCGTTTCTGACAAACTGGTTTTCCAGAAAATCGAATCTTTTCAAGAGTCAAGAGTCTCTTTCTGTTCCTTCTCAGCGAGAGTTGGATGAATACAACAAAAACTCGGATTTTTGGCAGGGAAAGGCACATATCACCGAATTGACAAATTTTAAAAGCTCATTCGGTGAAAACCCATTCAAGATTCGTCTCCTCCATGGTCGATTACATTGTACGGAATAACTTTTGGATCAGGGTACTTTAGAAAAATGTTTCGACATCGTTTTGCTTTTGGTCTCGTATAGTAACTTTCAAATCAGAGTTACTTAATATAAAAATACTTTATACTAACACCCCAAAAAAAAGCGTTCCAAGGCCTCCTGACTTGCACCAAACAATCTCCGTTGATTATATATACAAATTTTCAGCATTACAGATAGAATAACGTAAGTCCCTAATGGAGACAGATCTGCCTCCAGCTTCATCGATCCTAAAAGTCGCTTGCATTTTGTCGTTGTGTCTCGTTCGTAAAAGTAACTCATATAGGCTGCGCTTGGGTCTTTTATTCCCTTACTCAATAGCAAGCTAGACTTATTATCACTTTTCATTGTCGGGATACATCGAGTTTCTCTATATTCTCGTTCGTAAAAGTAACTCATATAGGCTGCGCTTGGGTCTTTTATTCCCTTACTCAATAGCAAGCTAGACTTATTATCACTTTTCATTGTCGGGATACATCGAGTTTCTCTATATTATTCAATCAAATCGCCGGGTCGACAAGCAACAACACCAAAAAAGTTTAATATTTCTCGTCGTTCTGGCCGCATGCCAGGCAAATCCAGTATTTGTGGATCGACAGTATCCAAACAAAAATAAAAATTCTTTCAATTAAATAATCAAGTAAACGAATAGATTTATAAGTTTTGACAATAATGGGTACCACGTAGAAAAACCCGGCAATGAAAAATGATAATAAGTCTAGCTTGCTATTGAGTAAGAGAATAAAAGACCCAAGCGCAGCCTATATGAGTTACTTTTACGAACGAGACACAACGATAAAATGCAAGCGACTTTTAGGATCGATGAAGCTGGAGGCAGATCTGTCTCCATTAGGGACTTACGTTATTCTATCTGTAATGCTGAAAATTTGTATATATAATCAACGGAGATTG